GAGCACAGGGGAAAATGTTAAATCCCCCATCCCATAACACATTGTATCCCCTTTGTGCTGAAAAGCAAATTCTGACCATGCTTATATTCAGCCACAAGATGGCAGCAAAGACTGCCTCTCTTCCATTTTAAAAGCAGGATGTTTTCAATCAAGGTAAATAGGAAGTCCAGCAGGGCAATCTCCTTTAAGGGTGGGTCTTTGGACATTGGAAACAAACAAGCAGTGGCAGAGAAGGTTGCAGAGCCTCTCCCAATTAATTGCCTGGTTGCACCTCCCATTAACTGCCATTCAGTTCTCCCACGCACACACACACTTTGTTCATGCCAGCACAATTAACTGATTGTGATGGTGGCTGGCTGTGCAAGTCACAGGAATTAACAGGGGCACGTCCATGTCTGTAAGGCACGTGTTCCCCAGAACAAATGAGAGCCAGGCTTCTTTTCTTTTGACTCTATGCATAGCATGTGTGCCTCTGCCACGGAGGCCAAGGGTCAAATGAGGTCCCCTCGTGTTCATACAGTATACCTCTGCCCAAAGCACATAAATGGGATGCAGTGTGAGAAGCAAAAAGGTAAAGGTAAAGGTTCCCTTGCTCGAAAGCCAGTCGAATCCGACTCTAGGGTTGCGGTGCTCATCTCCGTTTCAAAGCCGAAGAGCCAGCGCTGTCCGAAGACGTTTCCGTGGTCATGTGGCCGGCATGCCTAAACACCAAGGCGCACGGAACGCTGTTACCTTCCCACCGAAGTGGTCCCTATTTATCTACTTGCAATTTCTTGCTTTCGAACTGCTAGGTTGGCAGGAGCTGGAACTAGAGACAGGAGCTCACCAGTTTAATGGTGACCTCTGGTACAAACTCACCAGGTTGCACTGAAGAAGCTACTATGTCTCTCAGCCTTACCCCAAGCCCCCTTGTAGTCAGCAATACTACTGTTGTAACTGACAAGGTAGTTGTCAGGATTGCTGAGCCACTGTGCATGCAACACTGGAAGGGCTTTATTATACATAACAACATCCATGCGTGTGTTGCTTTACCAAGGTAACATAAGCAGGAGGATTCAAATCCACACTGTACACCTTGAATTCATTCTGTTGCGTTTCAGCTAGATAGTTAGACTGTAGATGAAGTAAATAATAGGAATGAACAACCGTGGCCAGTTTGGGGGTATTTTTAGTTGTAGCTCCCACATCCTAGAATGATGTGCTGATTGTGATGTTGAAGGAACACACATTTCTGAAATCCCATAAACTCTCGGGGGGGGGGGGGCTGCATCAAGGTGTCACAGTAAAGATAAACAGGAGTTTTGTGGCCACCGCCTTAAGAACTAAACAAATTTTATTCCAGCATTATTATTTTTTTGTGAGTCTAGCTCACAAATGTTTATGGGGAGATAAAATCTGGTTGGTCTTTTAAGGTGACACTAGACTGCTTTTTATTTTTCCAAAAGATTTTTATGGCTGAATTATTCAGGAGGGGCCTTCCATTCCTGATGGTCTGTTGATGGTGTCATTTATTGTGTCGTCTGTTTATGTGTGGCAAAGACTCTTTGGATATTTCAATTGTAACCATTGTAATCTGCCTTGAGCCCATAACTGACAAAAGATGAGCTTAAAGTGCTGCAAAGAAAGAAAGAAAGAGTTACCTTCTAGCATTCTCATTGATTCTCTTTGTTTGCCTGGTTCCCAGGACTTCATCACCATCTCCCTTTCGGAAGCAGACGCCATGACACGGACGCTGGCCTATCGGACTGATGCAACAGCTCAGCAGCTGACTGAGCAATGTGCTGTGAAGTTTGAGGTCCCAGAGCCTCAGGACTACGGCCTGTTTGTCCAGGTGGACAATAAGAGCCTGCAGCTTGCCGAAGACTCCCTCCCTCACCGTATCAAATCTCATCTCCTGAACAAAGACCCCAAGGCAACTTTCCACTTTATTTATAAGCAGATAAGCAGCCAAGAGACACCCGTTCCCATTATCAAGGAACCAGACAATTTATAACGGCAAAGCTGCATGGCTGTAGCAGTCTTGCTTGAAAGATGTTGTGATGTTTTTGCCTTACAGAACATTCTGATCTCTGTGGGTTTCTGAAGCTTGTCAAAACACAGCTTCCGATCCCAACGTTGAGAGGGGACAGCACAAGCCATCTTCCACCAGAACATTTTCTGTTGGCAGAATTACTTTTGCTACAGGAAATGTATTCCGAGCAACTGTTACTCTTTGGGGAAACTTGAATCATTTACAATGCAGTTCTTGTCAGAGTTGCCATGACCTGGATGGGCCAGGCAAGCCTGATCTCCTCAGATCTCGGAAACTAAGCAGGGTCGGCCCTGGTTAGTACTTGGATGGGAGACCAACAAGAAATTCCAGGGTCGCTATGCAGAGGCAGGCAATGGCACACCACCTCTGAACGTCTCTTGCCTTGGGTATCCTGCATGGTCACCATTAAGTTGGCCACAGCTTGAGGACACTGGGCACCACCCAAGTAGAGTCCCAGCCGCCTAAGTCCATTGAGTTCAGAAGGGTGCGGCATGGCTTAGGATGGCACTGCTAGAACCTCATAGCCTGCTAACAGTGTCCAGCCCAGCTCAGTCTTGTTATTGCGATGTATACTGATAGTTTGGTGGTGTTCCAGTTTGTGCTGGGATGAAGCAGGGGGTGTTCAAGGTTACCAGCAAGGCAACAGCATCTCAAACCACAGTACGATAAATCCGCAGGATGATCAGAAGTGGCCCAAGAAATTCACAGTGCTCTTCTATGCAATCTAAGTCCAATGATTTCAGTGGGCTTGGACTGGGCTGATGCCACACAGGATCTCACCAGTTGGCACCTGGAGACAGAAGATCTGAACAGCACTCTTTGTGGTGGTAAAAAAATATAATGGAGTCGAGAGCAGTTTTCTGCCTGGTTTCCACAATGCACGAAAATCGGTCGTGGGGGGCAGTCCCTGTTGCCCTGCTCTAGCGGTAAGGTTGAGCCTGGATCAGGGCTCTTTTTGTAGCAGGAGCTCCTTTGCATATTAGGCGACACACCCCTAACGTAGCCAATCCTCCAAGAGCTTACAGTAGCCCCTTGTAAGAAGAGCTCTGTAAGCTCTTGGAGGATTAGCTACATTAGGGGTGTGTCGCCTAATATGCAAAGGAGTTCCTGCTACAAAAAGAGCCCTGCCCCTGGATATTACAGAAGATGACATCCCCAGCCAGACGTCTAATGCTGCTCCATGCCTCTTTCCTGTTGACCTTTGCAAAGTTGAGTGGATCTCAGAGTGCGACATGACGTCATTGTGCTGTGCGTTGCCCCACCCCGTTCCAGGCCCATAGCTAACGCGGGGCCTGTGGGGCCTGGCCCCCTAGCATTTCTTCTGGGCCCCCGCTCTCCCGGGCCAGTCCCAAATTGAATTAATGTGATTAATTTTGATTTAATTAGCCGAGACCCCGCCAGGCCCCCTCCCCCCAAAATCCCTTCCTATGGGGCTGCCCCGTTCTCACCTGAAGCGGCAGAACAAAGCACCGTGAGTCGTTGTCCTACACTGTAGATCATTAGGTGCAACAGAAAGCCATAGAAAGGGACACACAGCACTTGTTCTGTGTCCCTTTGCCTCTTGGGCTGGACAACGTGTGGCACATGAGCCAAATGGAAGCATGCCAGGCCATCTTGCACAGTCCGCAAGGGCCGAGGTGAGCTCTTGAGGCACTGGCAGGATTGCTGGGCTGCAGAGGAAACAGGCGTGTCCGGCATCTCCTCCTGGGTCCAAAGCAAGCACCTCTGGTGTCTGGGCAACAAGGACCCACATATTCCCCACCTCCAATCCACTGGTGGACCAGCATCTTCTCAGATGGCAGTGGCATATTTTTGTTCAGCATTTGAGCCAAAGAAGTTGCCTACCCCTGGTCTGGTTGAAGGCAACATGCAGCTTCGTTTTACTGCACTTCGCTCTGCCCTCGGCAGCAGATTGTGAATTCTTCAAGCCATGTCTTGAAAACAGAAATCAGAGCCGGGTCTCATGATGTGACATCAATCGTTTTAATTCTGAAGGCAAATGTTGCTTCCTCCTTCTTCACAAGAGTAATACCTGTCAGTTTAGTGGAAGAAGGTAGTTTTGCAGTGATGCTCTGCTGCAGCAATCCCCAGCGTGGTGCCCGTGGGCACCCACCGATTTGTCTCCTGGTGTCCCCACGCTTCTTCCTCAAAGGAAAGACCCAATCCTGGCTTTGCTGCGACTCAGTGGAGCAGGAGGTGCTTCAGGAGGCATCACTATTGTGTTTGCAGGGAGCACCTGGTTGGAAACAGCTGCCTCCATCATAGGAGGACACTTGGCCTGGAGCCTCCTCATATGCTGTGGAATGTCATTGGACCCACTCCATGCAACAGCCGTTTTGTGATTGGTCTAGGTCCTAGAGCCCAGGTGTCTCCTGCTGCTCTGTAGAGGAGTGGGGGGGGGAATGGGAGGAGGAACAGGTGTCGCGACAACCCCATCACAACACTGTGGTGTCACTTCCAGGTTTGTGCTGGAAGTGATGTTATTGTGAGGCCTAGTTTGCATATCCTCACCCCTACAACTTCCCCCCAGTTGCCAGCCCTCTGTTGGCAGCCTTAGATGAGTCCCACCCCAGCACAGCAGCCATTTTGTTGTGGCACCCCCCCCACTGTCTGTCCTTAAGATTCTGAAGGTGCTCATGGGTTTAACAACACAGGGCACCCCATCGTACCGCAAGGAGGAAGGAAGGGGGAAATAAAGGAAGACGGGGGGGGGAAAGAAGAAGGGGTGAGTGGCTGGAAAAATGGCATGTGCTGTATTCCAATGGAGAATCAGTGTACTGTAATATATGTTGTCGAAGGCTTTCACGGCCGGACTTCCATTAGCTGTTGTAGATTTTCCGGGTTGTGTGGCCTGATGTTTCGCCAGTAGCTGTGACTGGCATCCTGAGAGGTATAACACGGAAAGATGGAGTACTCTCTGTGTCAAGGTTGACACAGGGTTGACACCTTGACACAAGGTTGACATCTTGACACAGAGAGTACTCCATCTTTCCGTGTTATACCTCTCAGGATGCCAGTCACAGCTACTGGCGAAACGTCAGGTTCTACAATGCCAAGACCACGGCCACACAACCCGGAAAATCTACAACAACTAGTGTACTGTAAGTTCTAGATATTTCCTGCAGATATGGAAGCTAGTAGCATTCTTTTATTATTCCAAAGGGAAGATATCAGAATTATCAAGGAGAGTGCTGGAAAAAATGGTGCTGAATGTGGCCTAGAGTTTGTGAGCTGCAGCCACTGAGTTACCTGGTGCCATTCCTTCTGCTCTTGGTCTCTGCACAGTTCAGCCTGTCCGCATGAAATCATTCTGGGCAGTGCCACAAAGCAAAGTTTGGCCAGACGGATGTGTGACAGAAAGGCCTTGTATGTTGGTATATGACAGCAGCCATATGTACTGCTGCAGTGCATACACCCTGGCATCATGCAATACACCCCTGAAAGCCAGGTTGCTTAGGACATGGGGCTGTTTTGTTCTCTTTAAATCCTCTCTTGCCCCTTTTTTCTGCTTGTTAGAACCTAAAGGCAACTCTCAAAGAGTTTACCTGCGACAACATTCCCAGTCCACTGGATGCGCGATGCAGCTTTTCCCATCACATGCCATGGAAGTTCACTGGGTGACCCAGCCAATTTCAGCCTAAACAACCTTGCAGGATGGTTTTTTTGACGATGAAATGGAGAAGCGGAAACATTATATTGTAAGCTCCTTTGGGTCCCCTGCTGGATAAGAAAGCAGGGTATAAATATCTAAATAAATAAAATCTGCCCCATCCAAACATGGTAACCGTTCTGTCTAGCTTGGTCGTACACCCCAGAGCACATGGCCATAGCTGATCTGATGAATATTCCACCTTTGTCAAGGTATGCACCTTTTTAGAGAGTTTGAAATCTGCTCATGGTTTAGAATAATGGAACCTAATTTGGACCAGTTTGGTGATGTCTCAAGTAAAGGGCCTTTTGTTTCTCTGGAGATGATAAACATTTTCCAATAATGTATTTTCCCCCACTGGAAGCTTTAAAAGTGTCATCTCCATCTCAGATTTCATTAGATCTGTGTTGCAAGAACTTCTCTTTAAATGAATTTATTTCACATGCTGTATTATGTATTTGGATATGTATTGTTCATGGAGAAAGCACAAATGGACACATGCTCAGTGCAACAGCTTCCATGTAGCTCAAATAAAAGAACTCAGGGTCACAGGATGGCCTTTGAATCATCTGCTTTTTATTTTTTTGCACCAGCCCTTGGGAGTGATTCTTCACACTATGTCTGCTGTATAGAGAAACCTTCTCATGATTCTGTGTTATTTTTACTGTTATAACAGGAAGCAGCCATGTTGTTGCTCAGGGCATTGGTTTAACATTCATCCCGGTAAATCTGCTTTGGTTCTTGACCACGGTATTAAAATCTCATGTGTTCCATGGTGAAACTGACTCCAAGCCATTGGGCTGCTGTTTCGGCCAACTGGGAATATTCCGCTTCACCCCATCTTCATTCAACAAGGCTTCTGTATCTCCACCTTACCGCTGCATTCAAATGTACTAAAATGCAATGAAGGATGATCCCATGGGCTAGGGAAGGTGGGTTCTAGCTGGCAACGCCAGATAGTGTGAGAACACCTCTTTCGGAAGACACAGAGGATGGCCGGGAAGAAACGTATGGCTGGCCAAACTCATACACAGCAGACACTTGAACACATGAAGCTACGTTATACCGAGTCAGACCATCAAGTTCTCTATTGTCTATGATTGGCAGTCTCTCTCCAAGGTGGGGGTCTTTCTTATCTACAACTGGAGCCTACTAACAGAAGATGCCAGGGACTGAACCTTGGACCTTTTGCATGTAAAACAGATCCTCCCACCATGACCCTCTCACTGTTGCATATGTAACCTGTAGAGTGGCCTGGCTTTCTCTCTCTCCCTGTGTACAAGCAAGGCCATTCTTTCCACAAGGTAGGCTGAAAATGCTCCCTGTAATTGTGGAGCAATTTCCCTTTGGGGAATGTGTTACCTTCCAAGAGACTCACCTCCTAGGGCGTGTGCATACACCAGCCACAGTCAGTACGCTGCAAGTCACTGTATTCAGGGACAGTCCCATTTTTTTCCTCCCTGTTCTGGGTCAATTACTGCCCCTTGTCCTTCGGAGCAGTTTGGATCTCTTCAAAGATGTCATTTTGACAGAGATGCAATTCGTAAGCTTTCAGCTCCTTCCTTGGCCCATTCTGTAGCATTCGCTCTGCTGTTTTACCAAACCCACCTTGGAACAGAAATTCCCCTC